CTTCTGGCAGCTCTGCACATAGACACACTGGGAACAGGCTCCCCTGGGTTCTCTGCCTCACTGCTGCCAGACTCCAGAGGCTTTGGAGGCAGCACTCCCAGATGGTCCTGGCCCCATCCTTGCATTGGACACAGGACCCTCACCCGAGTCCTCTCCAGGCTCCCTGACTGGTCCCTGTTCTTCTCCACAGTCTGATTCTGCTGCCAGTTCTGCACCGGCTGCCAGTGAGCCACAACAACAGCCACCAATTCAACATGTCACCCTATTTCTTGAACTCCGCATTGCCTGAACTTCGTTGTTTGGTGCATCTTCTGCTTTTGTTCTGTAGCACCGAAGGATTGGAAGACTCCTTACCAAGGATATCTACAGCCATGTAGAACTATGAGTTTGTGCATTTCCTAGCCCGTCTTCATAAAATTAAGGCTTTCGTAGCCATTTGTGGACTCTGAAATGTATTTGGTTCTTCTGCCGAAGACCGTGCAGGAATTCTCACTAGTGAAGGTCAGAAAGTCTTGGCAAAAGAGAAAATGGTTAGAAAATGTTGTTAGGAAAAAGGCAAGTCTTCAACTTTTGACGGCTGCAAACCAGCATGGCCCCCCACCCAAATTTATTTCAAAGGTTTCCTTTCTGCCAAGACAACACTTCAGGATTAAAATCCACAAACTCATGCATATAAAAGAAGATAAGGAGATCCCTGTAGGATCAGGCTAAGGTTCATTTAATCCATCTTGCTAGTCCCAGAGTCCCCAGCCAGGGAGATAAAAAGGCAACAGCTACTTTCCGTTGCTGCTCGCCACTAATTACTCCTCAGTGCAGGATTCTGGAGCAGACAGATAGTTGTCATCACTATTAGCTGCTGGTGAACTAATCTTTTTTTTGTTTTATTTAATCCTATTTTCTAAACCATTGAACACCCCCCAGTAGTTACTGGACCGTATTCCCTTCCTCCCTGGATAGGATGAGCAATAAATGAGGATTACGAGAGTTGAAGTCCAGCACCTGGAGACCCACTGCTGTCTGCTCATCCTAAAATCCCTATTTCAACTTTCCAGGAAGACAACGCAATTCTTGATCTGAGTCAATTTGGCACATTCTGCTTAAGTCTTGTGGCTATTCTGCCCCAATAATTGCGGGGTGGGGAAACGGCACATATTTTACCTCAGGGTAAAGACTTGAGGTAACAGACAGCTGCTAAATGAAGGGAAGGAAATCCATGAGCCGCGGTGGTGCAGTGGTTACAGTGCAGTACTGCAGGGTCCTTCTGCTGACTGCCGGCTGACTGCATTTTGGCAGTTCAAATCTCACCAGGCTCAAGGTTGACTCGGCCTTCCATCTTTCCAAGGTCGTTTGTTGGGGGAAAGAGGCTGACTCTGTAAACTGCTTAGAGAGGGCTGTGAAAGCACCGTAAAGTGGTAATATAAGTCTAAGTGCTATTGCTATTCTTGGGCTTGGAGGTGTTCCTCAGGGCACCTACAGAGAGCCAGGGTTTTTCCCTTGCAGGTGAGGTCTATGTTGGGAGACCAACTCAGGCCAGCTTGGTCTTCTCTACCAGAGGATGCATGAGGCAGCTTCTTCAGGTCAATCTATGCCTTTTCCAAGCGGGGAAAGGACCTGCCACTCAAAGCTGTAAGAGATGACCAGAGTCTTTGTTGGGAAACTCTGAGTCAGGCAAGGGAGAAGGGTCAAGTGGGGAACTAATCATGAATCCTTGGAAACTTGCACCTGATCCCATCTCCCAGTCCCCAAGTTCCATGAAACCTTATCTTTTGTTCCCAAGAAGTCCAGGGAGGTTCTTGTATTATAGGCAGAAAGCAATAAAGTACTGATCTTGAACTTTCACCTGTGGATCTGGCTGCTTGCACCTGACAGTCTTCCTATTGAAGAAACATGATGGGGAAAAGTCCAACTGATGTGTATCTTTTCTGACAACCTTTTTGTTTTTGAAAACGCATTATGAAAAGACAGCAATAAATACAAAGCATAACCAGAAAAAAAAAACCACACTAGATTGTTCTGCACAATTGGACTGGAAGTGCGAGTGAAGATTCCCATTTCTGCTTAATGCAATGCATTTAAACTAGCTCCAATGATTTATCAAATATTTCTAATTTACCTAGTTTTGCCCACTTAAAAACCGCCCTTAATATAAATGCTTCAAAGAGCATTTTGCTGCATTCCTAGGCCATAGATAAGGAAGTCCCTTTCTCCCTCCATATTTAAAGTGTGTTGTTGTTAGTTGCGAAGTTGTGTCTGACCCATCATGACCCCATGGACAATGTTCCTCCAGGCCTTCCTGTCCTTTACCAACTTCTGGAGTTCATTTAAGGTCATGCCTACTGCTTCCATGACTCCATCCAGCCACCTCATTCTCTGCCGTCCCGTTCTTCTTTTGCGTGTTCCCAATATTCAGCTCTTCTCCAGAGAGTCCTTCCTTCTCATGAGTTGGCCAAAGTCTTTGAGTTTCCTCTTCAGGATCTGGCCTACTAAAGAGCAGTCAGGGTGGATCTCCTCTAGGACTGACCGGTTGGATGGCCTTGCAGTCCAAGGGACTCGCAGGAGTCTTCTCCGGCACCAGAGTTCAAAGGCTTCCATTCTTTGGCGCTCAGCCTTCTTTATGGTCCAACTTTCACAGCCCTACGTTGCAACTGGGAAAAGCATAGCCTCGACTATGCGCACTTTTGCTGGCAGGGGGATGTCTCTGTTTTTTAGTATGCTGTCTAGATTTATATTTAAAGTTAACAAGAAGCATTGCAAAAGAAGAGATGTGATGTCTACTAGAGCTGCAGCAAACGTATCTACCATCCAAGTCTCCTGACTTGCACACAGACAATCACAATTCCAAAGTGTGCGAAACAGCACAATAAGACACCACAAGTTGTTTTGAAAGATAGTGCAGGTCAGCCACTCACCAGATCATCTGGACAATGACTTGTGCGCACAGTGTATTTGTGATTTGCAGAGTTTTAGATGGCTTTGTTTTTCCTACTCACTTTCTCTCTGAGAAAGTTGATTGTTCAGCAACATTGGCAACCGGTGGCTATTAAACGTCTCACTCCAGTAACCGGCGGGGAAGAGCGATGTTAAAGATTTGCAGAGTTTGGAGAAGCTGTCCTTCCACTTGGGATCCAGGAGCTGGAAGGATAACCACCACCCACATCCCCCAATTGCTATTCTGATCTCTCAACTTTTCATTCATCTTGAGAAATTGGCCATCTCCGTTGCCACAATGGACGTCTCATCCTTTATGCTGGCTCAGTGACATGTGAATTACCAAGGCCAATTTTTTTAAAAAAAATTTGGCTTCTTTGTGAGAGGGCTTTACATGAATTGCTCTCCCTGCACAGTTGAACTGCTACACACCTCTGTTGGGCAGTGTTATTTTTTCCATTTCAAAACTGGAATCCTGAGGGTATTTTTTTTACGCACGGCACGAGAGAGGCGAGATGAACTCAACTAGTTGGGTGAACAAAAAGGAGAACAGATGTAATGCTGTGTGTGTGTGTGAGAGAGAGAGAGAGAGAGAGAGAGGAGAGAGGGAGGGAGGGAGGGTGGGAGAGAAAGGAGGGGGGTCACTGATGCTTGGCTGCCCAAAGCTATGAATATACATTTTATTACATTAACCGCCACCGGTTTACATTTTATGCTGAAATGTAAAATGTCAACTAGCCATCTTTCTCCTACCTGGAGTTACTTAGCTTGGCCAATGGGAAAGTTTTGCCATAAAATAATGATCCATATCCAGCTTTTCTCAGGTTCTGTCTTGGGGATGGGAAGTTCTGAAATTCTGCTGGCTTCCAAACGAAAACCATTTTATTTCAATAACAACCACTAGATTTTCATTACTGGATCGATATCACCAGTATTTTTAACGCCCTGCCTATTAATACTGGCAAAGTTATAGGTTTGGGTTACTTAATTACATCAATTTTCCTGCTTTCTACAGTAAATTATGTATTTTTATCAGCATCATTGATGAATTGCAGTCCAGTTATTCTTCCCACTTACTCTTATAAGAGTCTATTTACTGCAACAGAACCCCATCACAGCATTAAAAACCCAGAGAACGCCTGTATCACAATTCCTTTATTTATCAGTATCAAATTACATAGTAAATTACTTTGGAGAACACTTTTCTTGAATACTGTAATACAAATAAAGATGTTTCCATTCTTTGACGTACTTATTGTCTTAAAACTGTGCGTTTGAAATAAAACATTTTGACGTATCCCAAAGAAACAGCCTGCATGAATTTTCTGTACTCTGTTTATACATAATACGTGTGTGTGTGTGTGTGTGTGTATTTCTTAAGTTTTCGCGGGTACTTACATGTATGATATTCAGCTTTGTTCGGGTATTTTCCCACATCATTATAGTTGTGCTTTTAAAGTTGTAGCAATGTTTCGGCAGAATCTCATCTGCCATCATCAATACAGAAGCCTGACGTTGCTACAACTTTAAAAGCACAACTATAATGATGTGGGAAAATACCCGAACAAAGCTGAATGCCCCATATATATATATATATATATATATATGGCCCATATCTATTATGGGCTTTACACTTATCATAAACATCCAGATCCTGCTCTGGGAAAATGAGATTCCTGAGCCAAAATCCAAGTTAACGTGGAGAATGAAAGTCCTACCTCTCATTTGAGGAACCCGCATCCAATTTCCTACCCCAGATCACACAATAATCTTGGGTCACCCCAGGAAACATGGTTATAATCCTCATTACTGCAAGAGAACCAGGGTTCAGCTGGGAAGGTAAGTAAACTACAGCAAGGACCAATTCTATTTCTTAGACTTGTACCGTGATTCTACTTATTTCCCAATTGAATTCTCTTCTGGCCAAGGTAAGCAGCGTTGGTCAAACTTCGGGATAGTAGAAGAATTTTGGCGTTCCCTTGAGAACTCTGTGTGTGTCTGTGTGTGTGTCTGTGAGAGAGAGATATGTACAGGGCACCAGAAACTGCACCCTGCATGATGTTGCAGTCCAACAGGATGACGACGACGTGGGGAGAAGGGTATCCAAGAGATGTGTCCGAGGTCTAAATGAACAGAAGTACAGAAAGGCCAATGCAGGGTCACAGGGGGACAGGAAGTCGGCAGCGTTTCCTATGGAGCCCTCAGCGTGCCGGTATCATTTGAAATCGGGTTTCTCTGGGAAGGTGCAACCGGAACGCTTGATGATCACACTGGCAGCGTAGTGCCCGGCACGGATGCACTCCGTCAACGGCCGCTCGTAGACCAACTGAGACAGGAAGCCTGAAGGACAAGATGAAAAGGGAGCGGGTAAAAACACAAACACATATGAAAGGCTGAGCACACCTGATGCACGTCATCTCTAGGAGAGGGAGAGAAGGACCATCGATGGAGACCAGGGAGGGAAAGTCTGCAGAGAATGGGCTTCTGGGATTCCCCCAACCTCTGTGCCACCGGCGAGCACAGCGGACAGGGACAGCTTTGTTCTGTGTCTGCCTGTACCTGCAATGTGCTTTCTCCTTATGGCGCATCTCTGTGTTGGCTGCATGCACTGACTTTGGGCCCAGGGGTGGGATTCAAAAATCCCAGCCACTGGTTTGCTGCCCAGTTGCTGGGAGGGTGTGGCCTACTGGAATGTCCAGGAAGGCCGTTTTTTTTTTTTTGCATTCCCCAGAGTCCGGAGGCTTCTCTCGGGTCTCTGGGAGGGCAAAAACGGCTTCCAGAGGACTCTGGAGGCCCTCCGGAAGCTGGAAACAGGCCTGTTTTCAGACTTCCGGAAGGCCCATTTCCCCCCCTCCACGTGGAACCTGCACTTACCTGCATCAAAAATGGGCCGCTCTTGGGAGGGGCAGGGCCAAACTGGTAGAATCCCACCCCTGCTTTAGGTGATGTAGTCAGCCAGAGTAGAATGGAATAACGGGGAGGACGGGGGATGGGGGGGCGCGACTTTCTCAGCCACCTGGCTTTCCCTGCCAGTTTTTAAAATTTGGCCTTTCCTTTTGCCAGTTTTTCCCCTCCCACAGAGAGCAGAGCATGGGCAGCTAATCTGGTGCTTCCAGTACACACTTCTACACAACCGTATACACGGAGAGTTGTTCCTATGGCCACTGCAGGTAAAAAGATTAGGAAGAATTCCCGAAGTCATGTTCCACAGGGATTTCTTATTCTAATATGTCTGGTTTGGTTCTGCAACCCAACAGGACAGACAAAGATTTCAGACAATGATTAGGACTGCAGAAAAAAACAATTACTACCAACCTGCCATCATCTTCCTGTATACTGCAGGAAGTCAAAAAGAGGGCTGGGAAAATATTTACAGACCAGAGGTGGTATATTCAGCAGGTTCTGACCAGTTCTGGAGAACCAGTAGCAGAAATTTTGAGTACTTTAGAGAACCAGCAAATACCACCTCTGACTGGAGATTTTACAGTCTCCTTCCCCTGCCACGCCCACCAAGCCACCCCCACAGAACCGGTAGTAAAAATTTTTTGAATCCCACCACTGTTACAGACCCCTCACATCCCAGACATAAAGTGTTTCAACTCCTTCTCTTAAAACGACACTATAGAGCACTGCACACAGTTTTTCCCCGAACGCCATTACTCGTTAAACAAATAATTTCCTCAACACTGTCCAACTATTTACAAAATCTGCATTACTATCACTACCTTATGATTCTTGACTCTTGATGACTGGGTCTTTTCTTTTATGTAGACTGAGAGCATTTGCACCAAAGACAAATTCCTTGTGTGTCCAATCACACTTGGTCGATAAAGAATTCCATTCCATTCTTTCATTATTCTATTCTATTCTATTCTATTCTATTCTATTCTACTCTACTCTACTCTACTCTACTCTTTCATTATTCTATTCTATTCTTTCATTATTCTATTCTATTCTTTCATTATTCTATTCTTTCATTATTCTACTCTATTCTTTCATTATTCTATTCTATTCTATTCTATTCTATTCTATTCTATT